ATACATTAGGAAATTGCATATTTCATTCACTTTTGCATTCATTTTTAAAATGAGATTAATGAATACGAAAATATCGAATAGGAAAATAGGAATTAGAAACAAAAATATATCAATATTGTAAAATATAAAATAATTGGCTAAATGACTAAATTAATATGTAATGTTAATCATAATTTGTTAAATAAATCGCACAACATTTTTAAGCTATAAATAAATTACTTACAGTTTTTATTTAAAATCTATTATGGAATTGATTTCTAAAATTTTTACACTATCTGGATTTCCGGTTCTGATTCCCATAAATACTAAAAGAGGGTTCTAGGTTCTGGCTACGATTCCTAGATTTGCCCCAGTTCTGAGGACTCTGATTCAAATTCCTATATCTGGCGATAACAATATAGTGTCGTTAAACGGCTCGATTTGAAAATATTACACTAATCTGAAGATTTTGTCCATAGGTGGCACAAAGGTATGGACATCTATTTACGAAAATTTCGAGGTTTTAGAAAATATTTTTGAGTTAGCAGCTGTTTTTAAAAATTCGGCAACACTAACACAATACAGTTTGGCCAAAAAATAAAAAGGTTAAATTTTTATACAATTATATAAATTTCATCTTTGATTATTTAAATTAAATAATTGAAAAAAATAAACATTGTCTAAAACCGTTGTCCTTCAATTTAAAAAAAATTAATTAATGAGTTCATTGAACAAGAATGGCTAAATGTGAAAGACATCAATTTTAGATTGAAATGTTAGCTTATAAATTTTAATTTAGGCATGAACAAAAAAACATTTAATAATTTTTAGCCCGAACCGGTTCCTAATTTTTAAACGGGTTCGGATTTTTATATTCATGCCACTTTTCGGTCCATTCTGAACTAGGTGCCGGATTTTTAAAAAATGGCTAACACAATATTCGGCAAAGAATAATTAGGCAAGTCTGGAAATTGCGTAATATTATTTAGGCAAATTGACCAAAGAGCCCCGATTAATAACACAACTTGCAGGTTCTCTGAAGAAGAAAAAATTAAGATAATTACCTATTCGAAACTACCCCTTTCCACGCTTCAATCAAGCACACCATTTTTTTTGTCAATGAATTTCAAAATAAATTCTTAACTAATTTTGATATTCAATCATAGTGTTGTTTGAACTAGAGGTCCAAAATTGGCCTAAAAAATTAGGTTTTCTTGCTCAATTTCAAAATAATTTGATTAGGGTCGGGCTTGCGGCATGTTTTGCAAGCCTTTGAATTGAACAACAAAATTAAAATATTTTTTGAAGTTATTTTATTGTAAAAAAAAACCAATATTTAATTAACAAATAATAAAAATTTTCCGCTTGTCTAATTAACCCAAATTATTCCTTCAATTATTATTATTTTTTTTTATCGAGGAATAAATTGAAAAATAAAAAAACATATATTTATATATTTTTTTCTTTTAAATTGTAAAAGATTTCCTTTCCCTCGATAATTTAAATGATGTTCTGACGTGTCTTCCATTATACAGTAAAACCTGTCTAATTTGGAAACCGTTAGACCAAGATTTTTGAATAAACTTAAGTTACCCAATTAAAGACTTTTTATATCCAAATAGTTAGTTAATAGGAATTTAAATTGAAACTTAAAATTTTAATAAAATTAAGGCAGTTTCCTTAATTATCAAGAACCCAAATCAACAAGTTTACTGTATATCACATCCTATCATAATGTCTTGTAGCATGAAAAAGGCGTTTTATTTAACTTATCAGTAATATAATAACTATAGTTGGGTATTGGCTAAACGTCGTCTAATTCGGCTCAATCAACTGACGGGTCCCGGAGAAAATCCATTAAAAATTAAGGCGTTTTAATTTTATGAGTTTCTTTCAAATTTGACCCGTTTTATTTTTAAGAAACACCCCGATTCGCAGCTAAAAATTGGTTTAAAAGACTAAAAATACAGTAATTAGCCAACTATATAAAAACATAATATATTTCATTTTCAATTTAGGGCCTTTTTTAAACAATTAATAAATAAATATATTATTTTAAATGATTACTATAATTTAATATTGATTTGAGTTAATGTATTGAATTAATACGCTAAGAATGTAAAGCAATACACAATATCGAGAAGATCTATAATATCGAAATCATTTTTTAAAAACAAACATAATTGAATATAGGGGAAAAAACCATAATTTTGTAATGATAAGTAGGCGGCATATAAATATGTATTCCTTAAAGTTATAAACTGTAAAGCAACATATTAAATTACGTATTCTCATGATATACGATGAGGTTTGGTAAATATTTTAATTTTAGAAATTAGACCCCTTTGGTATTTCTTCAAATATCTGCTCTTTTTTTCCCTTAAAGTTTGAATAAAATTTTCAAAATTTGTGATTCCATATATAAAAATTACAAAATATTTGTTTATAAAAGATTTTATAAATATTTGGCATTTTTAAGGTAAAATTTGATCAAAAAATCTTTCTCTAAAAAAAATAGGCTTCCAAAAGAATATCAAAATAATAAGATTTCTTTTTCTGTATTTGAACTGGATCGAATATTTGCCTATTTCTTGTACATTTTCAAAATAATTTTTGAATGGACAAAAATGATTTTAAAATAAATTATTAATAAAATATTTACGAATAAAATAAACATATAAAATTCAAAATGTCAACGAATCCAAAAATAAAAAAATTATCAAATTTTTTGTAAAAATATTATTACTTCACACAATATAATAAGGTATCCCTTAAAGGCATTAAAAAAAAATAAATGAATGCACTGATGTACTCATTTTTTTTCTATGGCCATTGTGGTATCGTGTTCTCTTTCATAAGGTACTATAAAATCATTATCTATTAGATTTAAAAGGATATTATTAAAAAAAAATTGTGAACGGAAATATCCGAAAACAAAATATCGGGGTAATAATTTGAAAACAAAAATGTCTAGTAAATAGGTGGGGGGGGGCAGTGCAAGCAAATCACTTAGCAGAGGTAAATAGCTTGCCCTAATAAAATTATATGGATTGAAATTGCTTGATATTACCCAAGCCTAAAGATTTTGCTCATTCATAGATGGCACAAAGGTTTTAGAGATGTATTAACCAAATCTCGAAACTTGGGCGCAACATTTTTTCTGGTCAAAATATTGAGTTATCCGTTTTTTAAAAAAATGCTCAGATTGAACCGTTTAACAACACTAATAAAGTTAAAAAATTAATGGATAATTTTGCCACCAAGTTAAGTCTCTTTTACAGTAAGCGCGTATTGCTCAATCGATGCGACACGTATCGCTGGGTAAAGCAAGCAAATAATAGGTAAGTGTAGTGTTGTTAAATGATCCGATTTGGGTCGATTTTTTAAAAAGGCCCGATTAAGATTTCACCCAAAATAATATTATATAAGCCTGGTTTTTTTGCTCATAGATGATAGAAAGGTTTAGAGCTCAATTTGCCAAATCTCAAGGCTTACATATTATTATTTTGGCTAAAATATTAATCGAACAGTTTTTAAAAATCGACCAAAATCAAGTCGTTTAACAAACCTAGGTAAGTGTAATACATTTTATCGCAACGCGGAATATCATTATAATTTAACCGATTATTTGCCTTCTTTTGAATTGAAAAATACCCAGCGCGCTTGCTATAAAAGAGGCATTAATGTTGAAAGGCGTTTTTCGCAAAAATCCGAATCAGGGTGTGAAAAATTAAAAAGTTTATGACCTAGCTGCGGTTCAGCTGCTTAATGTTCGTTTACGAGTTTAGAAAATTTATAAAAGTTTTTCTTCAGGTTTTGTTAAAAAAGGACACGCAAAAAGTGAAATTAATTTTATTGAGACAAAAAAAAGAAATTATAATTTCATACTATAACAAAGTATAAAAAAAATTTGGGTTTACATGATTAAATCAAATTGATTCAAATCGCGATTTAAATCACAATCAAAATAAATAATTTTTTTGGATAAAATCATAACTTATAATTTTTTTTTGTTTTATATTAATGTTATTAATTACTAAGTTTTTCTTTTTAAATAAAAACATTATATTAATACCTCATTTTACTAAATTTCGCATGCAAGTTCTAATTATTTGCTAAATTTAATTTATCAAAAATGATTTTATACAGGGTGCAGAAGTCGCTGTCATGTGCTAAATATTCATATTTTAGAAAAATAAAGGCCCGACCCCCATTCAACCCAGAATTACTTAGGGCGAATACACACAAGGTATACAAAAACAATATATTTTGTATACTTCACCGCGATTTGGCGCTATGGATTATTAGTTTCCACGTTGGGCTAGGCTTATTAATATTTACTTTTTATAACGCGAAAGAATGTTATTAATTTCTGTTTTTAAAAAAATATATATATCCATCCTGAGAGTTTTTACTCGTTGTTGTACTTGCATTTTATTAAAATAATAATAATATTAATTACATTTACCAAACAAACTTAGCTTTCATTTTTTTAAGTAATTATAATTTAAATGAGCCAGAAGAAATGAATACATTAATTCATAAATTAAATTTTTATTTTATACAATTTATATTTATATAAATCTAGTTTAAATTTAATATAATTAACTATTTATTACTATATTTATTAATAATATCGTGTTTTGTGTTTCCACCTTAAAGTTAATCGTTCGTAATTCCATGCATAATTAACAGTAAAGAGAGAACTATTATTTTTTTTTGGAAAGAAACAAACTTCGCCTATTTATATTATTGAAAACAAAATTTAATTAATTACCTTTTTCCATGTAAATATAAAAATTATAAATTAGGACAACAACATTAAAAAAAATTAGTTTGAATCGAAAAGAAAGTGTCAATTAACAGAGTGAATGAGATTTGTTTTACGCGATAAAGAGAAAATAATCAATAGTTGAAAATATTGATTTAAAAAAAAATAGTAATGAAATAAAAATTTGTCTTAAAATTAGTAGGAACCGCTGTCGGCTTTAAAAAAAAATGAGAATAAGGAACTAACTAACTTTATTCCGAGGTACGAGAAAAAGACAACCATTTCGGTAGCACCGATCCATTTTCTAGTGCTAGTTAATGCGTGATTAAAATGTTTAGCACCATCTAGATCCCATCCACAATTCCAAGCCTCTTCCGTCAATTTTTGAATTCTCATAATAGAAGGAATCTTTTCCGTCTCTTAAAAAATATGATTAAAATTATAATATAAAATTTTGTATATTAGGGACATCATTAAATTAATTGGGTGGTAAAATATTTATAAATAATCTCTGAACTTTTTAACAAATTTTTATAAGTCTTTGTGGGTTTCTAAATTTGAAAGCAAAAATATCTCAAATTATAAATGGTTGATTTGCTATCGGAAAGAATTATTTTTTGTAAACAACTCAGTGGTGGTCAGCATTGTATAATATGGTAGAAACATTACTATTTTATAGGGTTATCACATTTTCACATAAATAACTCTTTGTAAGAACAACAAATGGCAAGAGGAATAATTGTTCTAAGACTTATTGTTAAAAATTGTTTTTATGGGAATCACGATTTTTTTAAAAATTTAAATCAAATTTAATAATAAAATAAAAATATTCCCTGGCGAAAAATAACTCCTAAGGCAGTTATTAATGGAAGATGCATTCATGTTATTACATTACATCTCCTATGAATTTATTAATAGGCAATTATTAAATTAGTAATATAAAATCAAAGTATTTTAGAATAATGCTATGTCATCAATATTTATTATTTGCCCATTTATGATGCGTTACATTCTGCTTAAATAATTTTAAAAGTATCGTTAAGAGTCGACTAAATTAAATGATCTTGTAAAGCTTTAAATTGTTGGCATGCTATGTGTCATGTGTTATCGTATTCCCTTTTGATTAGAACTCTAACCTTTTTAGAACTTCAAGCGGGCTAAAAATCTAATAAGTATATGTCTGCGTTAAATTCCAGTGTTGTGATGATTTAATGAAACATATTGACGATTAAATTAAAACCCTTCCATATAAAATTATAATCTTTGCAAAAATAATTAAAATAACAAAAGGAATAAATAAAAGAAATTTCAATAATGCTTTGTCTATATTTTAATTGTTTTGCAAAGATTATAATTTTATATGGATGGGTTTTAATTTAATCGTCAATATGTTTCATTAAATCATCACAACACTGTCTTTCCTCTTCATCTTTAAGTGTCAGCTCCCCAATCAATAAAATGTGAAGAAGTGGGGAAAACGAAACTCTTTTTTTTAAAACAAACAACTCAACTCGAGAGATTCTAAGAGGGAAATCCAAGTACTTCTTTGAAACATTTCCTTATCCCTCTAAGCCTCTTTTTTCTCTATAACGTATTGCATTTATTTTTATCTTGTTCGCTCTTATTCTTCTTTAAGCTATCCAATATCCTTTTTTTTTTAAATTCGAAAAGTTTAAAAACTTTCGCAAACTTTAAAATTTCTAGTTATGTTTTGGACATGTTTTTATTTTTATATTTAAAATAGCGTATTTATTTATTCCCATTAAAGTTTCGAAATTAATTTTTTGATATGTTGAAAAAATAAGTAAAATGATGTTTATATATACTACTAGATTGGTGATTCATTAATTTGCCCATGCATAGGAGTCATGTAGCGCTATTTTGTGATTTGCACGCTTATCATTTAATCGATGTACAAACCATAAACCATAAAATGATGCTAAAGTTTACTTTTTCCTATGTATGGACACTTAAATTCATTTTAAATGAATCATCAATTTAGTAGTATACATATATACATCATTGGAAATGCCTTATTTCTCATACAGTTATTTTATTCCCAAGTTTCCGCATTTTTATTAAAAAATATATCATTTAATTATCTACGCAATTATTGTTTTAGACTGTGCAATCTTATATATTTGTATATAGCAATATATTAATACATATAATATATCATTTTAAAATATTATCGAGATTCGATTTATACAATTTATTATAGCGATTGATTACTAACTACATTAAATAAAGTAATATTTATAAACTATATTTGTTAATTAATCTTAATATCAGACCTGCAGAGAAGTACCATTTGTAAAGCCCATCCCGGATTTTTTTTAATTTTTATAGCTAACAATGGCGATTTAAAATATACTGCCCGGCTCTGGTATTTTTTTGTAAAAATATTTTTAAGCGCGGCCATTTAAAATTTTTTTTTTAGGCTCGACCCAGGTATATTTAAAAAAATTAAAATATGCCCCGGCCCGTATCAACAAAATATTGAATAAAAATTGATTTATTAAGCTAGGCAAAAATAAATATAAATATTTTTTGACAATTTTAACATTAAAATAATTTTTATAGGAGTTTATTAATATGTTATATCCAAAAAAAATCAGAATTAATGCAACATATAAAATCATAATAGCAATTAATTAAAACTTATTATTCAAAAACAATAGAAAAATGAGGCATGATAAAATGTTTTATTTTAAAGTAAAACATATTAAAATTTAAAAATAAAAGAATTGATTTAAATCATGATTTATTTCATGAAAATAATAAACCAATACTATAAATAAATTAAAGTTTTCTATGCAAAAAAGCAACTAACTGTTATAGGGTAAAACAAAAAAACTACGAATCTCGAATAGAAATGGCCAGAAAAAAATTTAAATGTCTACCTTTTTAAACGTGTCCAGTGCCTTTTCATCCAGGACATTTCTGTCCTTCATTATTATTTATTTTTTATAAAAGTTAATCCTCTCATTCAAAATTTGGACAATATTTATTGCGCAATGTGACTCGTTAAATATTTTTGAATCCTTTTTTTGTTACAGATAATATAAAATTTTTTTTGTTTCAAGTGTAGTAATAAATGTAATCTTGGTTCCTTTCAATTTTATTCATCATGTATCATATTATGATTTAGGAAATTATGTATAAAATCAAAAACAATGATAATATCGGATCGGCTTTTTGTAAAATATCGACCCAATAGGGTCTCTAAACAGCAAATATCGTTCCGATTCGATATTTAATATTGTGCTTGTTTCCTTCTCGATCCGATATTTAACACGCGGGCATGGCCGCTAATTAAAAATAATTTGATGTAATCATTGTCAAACCTAGTTTTTATTTAAAAATATATTTATTTTAGCAGATAGGGTTATATATTTTTAGGCCTTTCCTTTTTATATTTTAAAAAAATCAATATTTAAAGCCTTATACAATAAAAGTCAAAATATAACTCTTTTTGGGAATATTTTTGGTATAAAGTGTTTCCCATTTTTTAAAATAAGTTATTATATTGCCTTCGAACAATATTTATTTAGATACCTTTTGTTTTGACTTTCATTGTGAGGTTAGCTTAGCCTTACTAACTCTATCTAATATATTTGAATACTCATATTTCCACTATTTTTAAACAAATTTGTTAAAAATTTGGAAAAAATGAGATACAGTCACAAGTTACATTTTTATAAGAGTAACTAGTTAAATTTTAAAAAGCTATAGTAACTATTTACATTGGAATATAAATTATCAACTTGATAACAATGAAACGGAAGGGGTATTATCGGCCTTTAAAAAGCGCACACTACTAGAAGACACAAACACGGGTGGTGAATTAGGCTTATTATCCATATTTAGCAACCATGTCAAAAGCAGATATATTACTTATTTAGGTGGCTAAATTGAGGGCAATAAAAAATTTCTCATGTTTTGGGCTAACTAGAATATTCATTCAATATCATAACATACACACAAGGTCATATAAAACTTTTTTTACAGAGAAATATAAAGATCTGACAGAAAAAAATAGTTCATGTAACATGTGTAAAAGAAGAAAAAGAAGGTTGCCTAGATTATGTATTAATTTACAATATATATTTTATTTTTATTTTAGAAGATTCTTTCATTTAAAATAATTATGACATTTCTTGGTCATAATTTTAGCCAGAATAAAGATTTTTTTAATATTTATGATAAAAAAGTTTTGCCATGGTTTAAGTAATAATAGTTTCTCTTAAAAAAATTTTTTGTAAGACTTTTATGATTCATATTAATTAAAATATATACCAGGTGCAAAACAAAAATTTCAAAATAACAATTAAATCATGATTGAAAAGGTTAAAACTTATTAAAAGAGAAATTTTAAGTAATATAAATTTTTTACTTTTAAAGACCACATCAAATATTTGAGGTATTTTCATGATCGCTGAACATAACATTTGAATATTTTTGTAGCCGCACGACCAGCTTTTTTGTGATGGCGAAGTTTGTATAAAATCCAAGGGGGAACATAACCCTACACATCCTCTTAAAGTGGAATTGTTAGTCTTTGCATAATTTAATAATGTTTCGTAAATCTCTGTTTGTAAAATAAAAGAAATTTCAAAATCAAAGCCCATTCATTAATATTTTTTTTCCCCTGTAATTTTTATTACACTTAAAATGTGTAAATTAAAAAATTAGCGGGTGATTTTACAATCGCACTAAATGATTTTTTTTAACCCTTCGTAAAGCAAATTGTAAAATATGGATAATCCCTCATCACAGTTAGTGCGCGTGGCAAAATAAAGGGATCTAATTAGGCAAATAAAATATATATTTTAAGGTTAAAATTTTAAAGGATTATAGAAAGTGGATTATTTATTTTATTTGCATATTTTTTTTTGTGAATCACAATTTATTTTATTAATTCATTTTGTATTTTTTTTTAATATATGATTAATAAAAAGGTTTTTTAAGAAATTTAATTAAAATTGATAGTGAGCTATTTTAACACGATCAATTGATATACAAGTTGGTGCTGCCAAACCCAAAGTTACCAGACAAAATATTTTTATAGGACAAGCAAAAATTTTTATGTTTTTATTAGGCAAATTTATGCTTCTTTAAAAAATTATTATGGGCTGGGACAGAAAATTGGTACAAAATATAAATAAGGTATTAGTCTAACATTAAATATAAAATATAAAGAAGGTATTAATTTATAAGATAAAAAAATGATTAACCTGAAACAATACATTTTGAGTCTACATATTCAGAAGGATTAGGTATTGGTGTAAAAATATTTGGAAATGCTTGGGATAAAGTTGAGAGGTTTGGACTTTTTCTAATTAAAACACCTAAATTACAATGTGGTTAAAATGAGGTTATGAAAAAAATAAACTTTGTTTTGATTGATCATTGCCTAAATTAAAATGTTGAGTCAAATGAATCCTTAAATCAAATTGATGTTTAAATGATAAACCACAAGTGGGACAGGTAAGAAGGATTAGATCTTTCAAGATTTCACTATATTGATTTTCATCATCGGATTGATGATCATTGTTTATGTGATAATTTAATATTGATTCTGTCCTATAAATTTCTTGACATTGGGGACAATGATACTCATAATTATTATTTTTATAAGGTAATTTTTCAGTTCCAATATCACTTACACATTTAGATAAAATATTATTTGATTTAATCTCATTACTATATAAATTCTGATCACATTTAATTTTATTTGGTTTTATCTTAGTATCATGTTCCTGGCTATATTTTGAAAATTCATGATCAAGTTGTTTTAATTCTTCCTTTTCCTCATCAACATAATTTTCCATATGGTCTTCAAGAATTTTGGTTAATGACACAGCTTTTGGTTGTAAAATCTTTTTGGATTTATCTAAATTATTTGAAATTTTGTTAAAATTTGGCAAAATTTCATTTTCCTTCTCCTCAAGCATATCTAAATCATTTGAATCTTCTGAAATATATGAGGCTTCAGATTTCAGTGAAGGTGAAAGAGAATCATCTTGGATATCTGAATCGTTTTCATATTTATCACTCTGATTAATAGGAGGGAATAAAAACATTTGCTCATCTTTTTTAACACTAGACTCAAAATTTGGCAAAGATCGTCTTTTAATATTTTTAAGGTCAGAAATGGGTCTGATTTTAGCATCTGAAGGAATTGGGGATGGTGGTCTATTGACTGTTGGAGGACTATGTGATGAGCGATGTCTGAGATATTTTGGTGCCAAATTTTTTAAATAGCATGTGACATCCCCAGGAGTTTCTTCAATTCTGTGCAATCCTGATTTGCTATTTAAGGTGGATATTAAAGAAATTCTTTGTGATTTTCTATGAGGACTAGGAGTTCTTAAAGGTGAGCGGGGTAAAGTACCAAAATTAAAAGTTGGGGACAGCGAATTACTGGTATTTGGGATGTGTAATATATTATTTAACTTATTATTTTGCATTATTTGTAAAGGCAGCATATTTGCCATATCCAGATTTACACTTTGCCCGAACTGAGAAAAATAATTAGTTACAAAATCATATGTATAAATTTGAAATTATAGATGAATAATAAACTACGGAGGTAAGTATATTTTTAATAGTTTAATTTATCTAATGTTATTTTGATAATTTTGGATATCACATGAACAAAGAATGCATTAAGATTTTATAATATTTTATTTTAAATTTAATTTAATCCATTTTTCTGGTTTACAATTCAAAATATACTTTTAAATAGAAATAAAAACATGTGTATTATTTAAAAGATGCTTAAAAAAATATAAAGCAATAGCTATGGAGGGAGGGGTTAAGATAATTTCTAGACCCCTAAACCTGACTGCAAAGAATAAGGATGGAGATGATATGGCGCGAGGTTCGAGTCAGTAAAAATATATTTTATTAACTAACTTCTTTTGCTTTTCTTAAGGTATTTATACCTTTTCTAAAATATAAATTAGAATATAAAACGAAATACAAAAAAGTAAAATAATATATAAAAAAGTAAGGTTACGCCGTTTATAAAATAAAATTAGATTATAACAAAAATAATAAAAGTTCAAATGCAAAAAAACAAAAAATAAGATAAAGGAATAACGCAACATTCTCCCTCTTCTGATAATTTCATCGGAGAAGTCATAGAGAGTTTGTTGTTCAAGTGGTTTATAATTTTGGTAATCAAGTTGTATCACAAATCATCATAACGTTGGCTTGTCCAATCGTTGGTTTGTATAAATCGATTTTGCACGTTGGTTTGTTTAATCACAAGCTTGATATCCATATAATTGTCTCCATTAATCATAGCTTGTTTGATCGTACTCAATTGTTAATTATCATTTTTCCAGTTGAATATTGGAATTTGGAATAAATCAGAATATGTAATTTGGAATAGTTGATCAAATCAAATATATGAATAATATGCACGAATAAAATTTTGAATTTCGGAACAATAAAATATGTAATAAGGAATGATAAAATATGTAATAAGGAATGATAATTTATGTAATAAGGAATGATAAATTATAATGATTATTATATTATTTTTTAAGTATTAAGTTAATCATAACGTTTTATACTTTTAGCGTTTTATATTTTTAGCGTTTTATATATTTAATTAGTAGCGTTTTAATATTTAATTAGTAGCGTTTTAATATTTAATTTATTTTTATTTATTTTCAATCTCCGAGGTTAAAATATGCAAATATTATGCACATTTCCCTCTCTTAAAAAAATTTAAATTTCACACAATATTTTTCTAAAATAATGATGTTTAATTTTTACATAACCTTTTGTCTTCAAAAGCTTTATTTCAAAAACATTTTTATCATATTAAGTATTACTTTAAGGGTTATTTAAATCAATCCCTTTTAATTCATATGTTTTAATTACATTTTAAATATTTTAAATCAATCCCTTTTAATTCATATGTTTTAATTACATTTTAACATATTTAAAATTAAGTTTTATCTTCTTGTTTAGGATTTTTAATGGTTTATTTTTAATTATATCTAAGAATTCATCTTTAGGTTTTGTTAATTAACAACAATTCGTCATCATTCAAGAAATCAAAAAATATCAATATTATCCATTATGATTTTACATTTTAGTAATTTTAAAAATTTATAACATGCCTTTATCCTGGCATAAAATTTTAATTTATAATACTTCTTACGTGGATTAGAATAATAAGTAACCATCATTGGTCTCACAAAATAGAATTCATAACCTATCGTTCAACTTCCATATCAGTTCTTCCTAGGTTGTCACATTAGGTTAGGTGCTGGCTATTATATTCCAGTCCAACATCCAGAGCCGGGACACCATAAAGAAAGAAGCTTTTTGCATGAAAGAACGTGCTAAGGTTTGATTCTTGGTCATCTCAGTAGTTTAGGTAGTCACAATAGATAAGGTAGTCATAACATCACAATAGATAAGGTAGTCATAATAGGTAGTCATCTCCATAGGTTAAGCACAAGGTAGAGTCATAATAGGTAGTCATCTCCATAGGTTAAGCAATCAACACAATAGGTATTCATATAAATAGAGTCATCTCAATGGATTAAACAATCGTCACAATAGGTAGTCTAAATAGAGTCATCTCAATGGATTAAGCAATCATCACAATAGGTAGTCATATAAATAGAGTCATTTCAATGGATTAAGCAATCGTCATAGATTAGATACACAATAGGTAGTCATATCAATAGATAAGGTAGTCATTTCAATAGGTAAAGCAGTCTCTATAGGTTAGATAGTCGTCACAATAGGTAGTCATCTTTTTCTAGTCCACCACCCAAAGGGCACCATGCAAAGAATAAGGATGGAGACGATATGGCGCGAGGTTCGAGTCAGTAAAAATATATTTTATTAACTAACTTCTTTTGCTTTTCTTAAGGTATTTATACCTTTTCTAAAATATAAATTAGAATATAAAACGAAATACAAAAAAGTAAAATAATATATAAAAAAGTAAGGTTACGCCGTTTATAAAATAAAATTAGATTATAACAAAAATAATAAAAGTTCAAATGCAAAAAAACAAAAAATAAGATAAAGGAATAACGCAACACTGACTTCCAATTTTTTTGTCCCACAGAAATGGTCTCCAGAAATATTTCTACCCACGAAATTTAAAAAAAATATATTAATCAAATTTTCATTCGCCTTAATCTTTAATTTTAAAAAATATTTATCAAATTTTCATCCGCCTTAATCTTTAATTTTTAAAAAAATAATAATATCTGTCATTTTTAATATATATATATAATAAATTTGCCTTAAGTCATAAAAAAAAAATTGAATAATAAAACAAAAAATTTCTTAAAAATAAATATCGACCATAGGCGTAGCCAGGGGGGGGCATGGGGAAATCCCCCCCCCCCTTCAGAAATTTATCACTTTTTGTAAATTTAATTTTTAGCTAATAAAAAATATCCCCCTTAGTTTTTCCCCCACTCCCTGACCCTCAAATATGTATGCATATATCTTAAATAATAATTTAAAAGAAAGAATGTAAAAGTTGATATTTTTTTATAAAACTATTCATCATAATTTATAGATTTTTGTGAAAATAAATTTATAAATATGTAAAATGAACCAAAAATGTTTTTTAATAAATGGAATATAAGCCAAAGATAAGTCTTAAGACAGAAGTGAAATGTATTATAATTATTAATAATAGATCCATAAAATTACTAAATAATTTAATATATCAAATATAATTTTTTATAAAGTGAGTAATTTTAATTTATTTATCTTAATAAAAGTAAAATATAATTATAAAACTATTGATAAAATTAAATCATAAATTAAAAAAATATTAAAGCAGAATACAAACAGTGGAATATTATATGTCGTAGATTTATAGTATATCTAATTATCAAATGACAATCAAGTAATTTTTACCAATATAGCGAATTATATATTTTACAGAAAACTATAAAATATTGATAAGGACATCAGAAAATATCTTTTAAAGACATTGTGGGATGAATAATATGAAGATTAAATTTAAATATCATTTTTACTTAAGATAAATAGATGGCGTTAAATAATTGAATGCATATTGTTGCTATATTTAATATCAAGAGCATTGATTAGTAAAATTTGTTAAATTATTAATTGTATTCTCTAACTGTCAAATATGTAAAAGTGGAATTTTACCTAGTATTTTATAACTAATTCTATATAATAGAGTAAAATCAACTATATGTCTACTTACTTTTTATAAATAAATTTCTTATAATTGTTTGGATAAAATTATTACCATGCCTTTATATTAAGGTATATACAATACAAGTAATTTATTATATTTTTATTTTATATAAACTAATAAAAATATATTTCATATTTGTTCCAGGCTTATTTTTTTTATTAAAAGTTGTAAAAATATTTTATGACTAATATAAACTAAAATAACCCGTCCGAAGGCCGGGGGAAAGCGGGCCAAAAGGGGGTCTGGGGACGAAGCCCCCAGTAATTTTTCAATCCCCCCCCCCTTATGAAAATCCTGGCTACGCCTATGATATCGACAATTTTGGTGAATCTTTAAAGTGAGTGTAATAGATATTATTTGATATCGATATTAGATTTGATACTTCACACAATACAAGAGGTCGCTTTTTTGTGGGTCATGTTCCGCTATAATAACCAATTCTGTAATAAAATAATTTATTCTTCAGCAGGGAGGTGGCTAGATTTAGGTGCTATAGCACCTATTTCGAAAATAGATTTTAACCTTTTTAAAAACAGAGATTAGTGCTCTTTTATAAAAGCATACATTAAATACAATCTTACGATAATTTTATGACGTATTTTAAATAATTTTCCTTGTGACATTAATTATTTTATTTCAATTTTTTTCCTCTCTCCTTAAGGTAAAAATAAAAAGACATTACATTATATGAAAAAAAGGATATATAATCTATTCATTATTTTATAAAATGATCCTATAAATCAATATGAAATTAAACCTTGTACATAGAATACGTTAAGGTCGAGTTGTTGAAATTTAATGTATTTATTCTGCGCTGATTTTGAGTATACAAAAGTTATGATTTTTTTGATAATTTAATGTTCATTTTTGAATTAGCCTTATTTTAAGTCATATCTATTATGACAGAAATAATGTTGATCTGTCTCAATAGATTATAGTGAGATTCTGTTTTGTTGTCTTAGGGTGGATGAGAGCAGCAGGTTGTAAAATTTTTAGTTTAATTATTTGGTAAATTTTTTTGTGGAAAAATTCAAAAGAATTGATTTAGAAGGTTTTTCCGCTGAAAGCATTTCAAATTGCATTTTAAAACAATTAAGTGATTTAACGATTAATTTATTGTTTAGGCTAGCCAAGGGGAACCCTCCCTTCTAAAATTTGTAAGTTCTCGTTAATATCATTTTAAGCGAATAAAAATATCCCCCCCCCCCCTCACGGTTTCAAAAAATGTATAAAATAAATCACTATAGTGTGTGTGTGTGATTTGTTATTTCCATATATTAACTTTCTTTTAAAATTGTTTGACTTGCTATGATTAACATATTGATAACATTAAAAAATAATA